TGCAATAACCTAAGATGTTTGGTTGTGTCTGTCTTGTGTGTTTGCTCTGTTGGGTTTTATTATGATGATGCATATGTGATCACATTGCGTGGGCCTAATCAACTCATAATTTGTGTAACTTGTGCAGAGTCATGGTAGGATCCAAGAGAACACGAGAGATTGTTGAGGTTCAACCCGACCCAATCCTGACTGCATTGGCTGAGATGCAGGAGGCCACTAGATTGGCCAACGTGGCAATGATGGATGCTGCTAGAGAAACGAACCAGAAGACCACAGAGGATGCTCTTGAGGCAAATCGGCTGGCGAACATGACCATGATGCGGGTTATGTTGGAGGAGATGAGGGCTGGTCCTGCTGTTGGCCACTGTCCTCCGCCACCACCTCCACCGCCACCACCGGCTCCACCTAGTGTTCAGGATGAGAGCTACTCATGTCACTGGGATGATGGAACCCTTTATGGAGCCTGCTGAGGACCGTGACGTGATCAACTGTCAACTGAACGCTTTCAGGAAGCATAAGCCGCCTTCTTTTGATGGGTCTTTGGATCCTATTGCTGCGGAGAGATGGCTGCAATAGTTGGACAAGATCTTCCGGGTCATGCAGTGTACTGATCCGCAGAAGCTGATGTTCGCGACCTACATGTTGGAGGGCGATGCCCATGAGTGGTGGGCGAACACCTTTCGTGCTTATGAGATGCAGGGTCATGTCATGACGTGGCCATTCTTCGAGGACTGCTTCTTGGGCAAGTATTTTTTGTATGATGCTCAAGAGAGGAAGCAAGGAGAATTTGATAGATTGGTTCAGGACTCGATGTCTGTTGATGAGTACCTGGCCAAGTTCAATGAACTGGTGAAGTTCGCACACTTTCGGATGGTTCCACTTACTTCGATGTTTTTGGCTGCTAAGTTCCGCAGAGGACTCAGTGAGGTGATTGCAGAGCATATTGCTGGAGCTGCTTCGAGAGATTTTGGTACAATGGTTCAGCAGTGTAAGGACATTAAGGATGTCTGCATTACGAGCAAGGCCAAAAGGGCCAAGGTTGATGAGACCAAGGGAACCGGTGGTTCCACTTCCTGGAAGGATAGGAAGTTTGCTGGGAAGGGCAAAGGTAAACAGTTGGCGACTAGACAGGCGCCTGGTCAGTTCAAGAGGACTGCTTCACAGCAGGGGAGCTTCACTAGGCCTCCTTCCACTCCTAGATGTTCGGGGTGTGGAAAGGAGCATGCTGGTCGTTGTGCTACGGGTCAGCTGATCTGCTTCCAGTGTGGCAAAGAGGGCCATTTTTCTAGAGACTTTCTGTCGTCGACAGCGAGGGCTGTTGCAGTTCAGACAGTTCCACTTCAGATGGTTCCGATGGCATCTACTTCGGCACCTGCAGTGCCACCTGCTACTGGATGTGTGTACACGTTGGATCGCCAGCAGTCGGATAGAGCTACGAACCTTGTTAGAGGTACTGTGTCTATTGGTGATTCATCAGTTGATGTATTGTTTGATTCCGGGGCTACGCATTCTTTTGTTGCAACCCCGATTGCTTTGGGGCTTGGGTTGCCTATGTCTGTGCTTTCTCCACCGTTGCGGGTGACTACCGCCACCGGAGAAAAGTGTGATGCTACCACTGTTCATCGCGATGTAGCGTTTCAGTGGGACGGCCGTGAGTTCTCGGTAGATCTGATAGGATTGCCGATGGCCAACTTGGAGATTATTCTAGGCATGAATTGGTTGTCCAGAAACTGTGCATTGATTGATTGCTGTGCAAAGCGCGTGGTGATGTCTCCATGTGATTCCACAGCTAGTTCCTCGCCGTACATTTCAGTGCTCTAGGAGAGCTTTGCGAGCAGGGACATTCGGTTATGTCATGTTGGGAGGTTTGGTGAGTGGGACACAGGAGGATATCACTGGCATTCCTGTGGTGGGGAAATTCCTTGAGGTGTTTCTTGAGGAGATTCCTAAGTTTCCGCCACAGAGGGAGATAGAGTTCTCCATTGATTTTTTGCCTGGTGTGGGGCCTATTTCATTAGCTCCATATCCGATGTCGCCACCAGAGTTGGCGGAGCTAAAGAAGCATATTGAGGATCTCTCAGCAAAAGATTTCATCCGACCGAGTGTGTCTCCTTGGGGAGCACCAGTCATCTTTGTGAAGAAGAAAGATGGGACAATGCGATTGTGCACCGACTACAGGCAATTGAACAAGGTGACGATCAAGAACAAGTATCCCCTTCCTCGGATTGATGATCTGTTGGATCAACTCAGGGGTGCTTGCGTGTATTCAAAGATTGATCTCCGGTCCGGATACCATCAGATTCGGGTGAAGCCGGAGGATGTCCCTAAGACCGCATTTCGTTCGAGATACGGTCATTCTGAGTATTTGGTTATCCCGTTTGGACTCACCAATGCGCTGACAATGTTCATGGATTACATGAACAAGATTTTCCAGCCGTATCTGGATCAGTTTGTGATTGTCTTCATTGACGACATTATGATTTACTCCAAGACTGAGAAGGAGCATGCGGAGCATCTGAGGATTGTTTTGCAAGTGCTGAAGGAGAAAAAGTTGTATGCTAAACCTTCTAAGTGTGAGTTTTGGCTCAAATCAGTCATGTTCCTTGGGCATGTGATTTCAGCTGAAGGAGTCGCAATGGATCTCAACAAGATCGAAGCCGTGCTAGATTGGGAGAGGCCCAAGACGGTTACGGAAGTTCGGAGCTTCTTAGGTTTGGCAGGTTACTATCGGAGGTTCATCAAGGGATTCTCTACAATGGTTCTCCCTCTGACTGGCCTTACCCGAAAGGAGACTCCATTTGTGTGGACTCACGAGTGTGAGGAGTGCTTTCAAGAGTTGAAGGAGAGATTGACTACTTCACCTGTGTTGATCCTTCCTGATCCTGAGGAGCAGTTTGAGCTTTACTGTGATGCTTCTGGAAAGGGGTTGGGTCGTGTTTTGATGCAGTCTGGTAGAGTTGTTGCTTTTGCTTCGAGGCAGTTGAAACCTCATGAGAAGAACTACCCGACTCATGATTTGGAGTTGGCTGCGATTGTTTTTGGTTTCAAGATTTGGAGGCACTATCTGTTCGGTATGCAGTTTGCTGTGTTTAGTGACCACAAGAGCTTGAAGTATCTGTTCGATCAGAAGGAGCTGAACAAGAGACAAAGAAGATGGATGAAATATCTGAAGGACTACGACTTTGAGTTGAAGTACCATCCTAGCAAGGCCAATGTGGTAGCCGATGCTCTGAGTCAGAAATCCGTGAGTCTATCCAGTTTGACTATGGGGGACTTCGACATCATAGAGAAGTTTCAATATCTGAATGTGACTTCCTTGTTTGGGTTGCACTTCTCGAGATGGAGACTGTGAGAGTCAGGAATGAGCTTATGGAGAAGATCCACGAGGCGCAAGTGCAGAGAGAATGTCTCGACTACGTGAAGAACCAAGACGGTGTGTCTTGGAATGAGGATGGACTTCTGTTGTTTCAGAAGCGGATTATGATTCCTCGAGGTCCTTTGACCGAAGAGGTTATGGCAGAGGCCCATAAAGGCCAGTTTACTGTTCACCCTGGTGCTACAAAGATGTATCAGGACTTGAAGAGAAATTTTTGGTGGCTAGGAATGAAGAAGGACATAGTTGTGTATGTGTCCAAGTGTTTGATTTGCCAGAAGGTGAAGATAAAACACCAGAAGCCGTCTGGTAAACTTCAACCTCTTGAGATTCCGGAATGGAAATAGGAGAGCATTTTCATGGACTTCGTTATGGGTTTGCCGAAGACTCAGGTTGGCTGTGACTCTATTTGGGTCATTGTGGACAGGTTGACGAAGTCAGCCCATTTTCTTCCAGTGAAGGTGAGCTTCACTACTGAGCAGTTGGCCAGACTATATGTTCGCGAGATTGTGAGGCTTCATGGGGTGCCCGAGAGTATCATCAGTGATAGGGACCCGAAGTTCACATCTCGGTTCTGAGAGGCGCTGCAGGGAGCTTTTGGTATGCAGTTGAGACTAAGTACAGCCTATCACCCTCAGACTGAGCGGACTATCCAAACCTTGGAGGACATGTTGCGGGCTTGCACGTTGGAGCAGGGCTCGGCATGGGATAGGGGGCAACTGATCCAGATAAAATATAGGCCCAATGGAGGCCCAATGACATACGAAAAAGCCCAACCCACCAAGGATCCAGAGCAAGCGCGACAGACAACTATCGCGCGTAAGCCACAATGCCCCCATCGCGACAGACAAGTCGCGATAACCATATCGCGGATGAAACCCTCTCAAGTAAGCAAACTTAACGTCCAAGGCAGTCCCACCGCGCCTTTATGCCAATAAGCAACGGACAGCTCCAGCTTACCGCGACTCTACAACTAGACACTAACAAAGATAAGGCAACTCAGATCCTAGTACTGACCTGCAACCCAAACTTGGTCAATCAGAAGCCAAGCCGCCTTGCTAAGGCGGCATCATAACTACTATATAAACAAAGGGTTCAACACCCATGTACGATCATCCTTTACATTTAACAACATACATCATCTGCCTCTGATACTGACTTAAGCATCGGAGTGTCTTCGCAAGTACCCCCAGTCAGACTTAACGCGCTACCGCAAAGAGCAGATACACAGTTTGATCCTATCCTAACTGAAGGCCCAATACTAAGCACTAAAACCCATATCTCAACCATGTGTGATCAGGCTTGATACAGTTTGGTCAGCCCACTCCATATCTGGTCTGATCAAGAGAGTATCGTGAAATTTGCTGAGATCCAAAAATAGTATTTACTCTAATTTTATATTTAATTAGATTGTTTTAAATAATTAAGATGGTACGGAAATTGATTAAGAGATTACATAATTTTTCACTTTCTTTTGTGACGATAATTTCTACTAGCAATATTCAAAATCAATTGGTCCACTTTCTTTCTCTTTCCAATAGTAGATTTCCACTTTAAGGTCCACTTTCTATTTATATTTATTCTCTTGTCTAACGCGCAATCTACGCCTGCGTCTGCAGTGCCCAAAACAGGAAGTAGAAGGTAATATATTATATATGATTGATTACTATATATAATAGTTTTAAATTTTATATTTTATTTTATTTTATTTTTGGAAACACACTGAACATATTTTATTAATTAAACGTTATCTTTGGGCTTTGTCTTTTAAACTGCTCCATTCAAATCACTTCATTGCTATCAGTCAAAATATCATAAATCAACTCTTCTCTGGTTATGCTGTGTGATTCGAACGACGACGTCGTTTAATGGAGAAGTACCTGAAGGATTTCGAATTGGAGTCTAAGAATTGTTCGATCGAAGCTTTGAGTAGATGGAGATCTGCAGTATCGTTGGTGAAGAACCCTAGGAGAAGGTTCCGCAATGTCGCAGATCTCGTCAAACGCATCCAAGTTCAAGAGAAGCATCGCGAATTACAGGTTCTCTTTCTCAGATTCTCTCTTTGTTTTTTTATTCCGGTTTGGTTTGATTTTGAGCACGCGTTGTTTGAAATCTGAAGAATAGAGGGAAAAGGAAAATGAAAATAACGAAGGTAAAGGTACTCGTAGATAATAGATACCTGAAAAAGTGAAATCCATTTTGTTTAAAGTTGAAACGGATCAAACAGTAGAGGAGAATAAAAAGTTGTTTATGTATTTTCTTTTCTTTTTTTATGAAAAAAAAATAAAAAATCTAGTGTGTGATGTTACAAGCAAATCATGTGGTGCACAATGAAAGGGAAAAGAGTCCAATAAGGAGAAGAAACGTAGGGTTATTGTTGTGTCTTGTGTGACAGTTACCGTTTCGCCCTAAAACCGAAATCAGTGTTGCAGAGCTGAATTTCCTGTCTTTCGAATCCGATTTCCACAGGTCTCAGATTGAATTAGATTCATTTTGAGGAGAATAGTAAATTGATTTAATTTAATTTGATTTTTTGTAATATTATTCAACCAATTTAATTTATAATATAAATTTAAATTAATCAAAATCAGTTTAGATTGAATTATTTTTTTTCTTGTTTTTTAAACATATTTTATGAATAAAGTTATTAAACTTATCAAAATATAAAAAATTAATTTATTAAAAATGTTATATATAAGGTTAAATAAATTCATTAAAATATAAATATAAATTTGAAATGACTTTAGCATATGTTGATCCCATATAATAAATCGAAAATAGTTTTCTTATGTTACCGGAAACAATTTCTCTCGTGTAATATAAACAAAATTATAAGTAACATCTACAGAGAAAAAATAGAAGTGTCACTTATTTCTCATTTGTGTGTAAGAAATTGATTTCTTTTATCGATAAATATAACCCATAATAAATATAATAACGAGTAGTGAAAGTACAACAGGTTATGATTCTGCGGTCAAGTTTCGCGAATGACCCGTCCTTATCTTGAGTGTAGCCGCCCTTATATTTTAATAGATTAAAATTGTAATACATTTTAAATAAAATAAAAGAATGATGCATTTTTAATCTTGCATTTTACAAACTTAGTATGCTATTTTTGTGACTGAAAACTTTGTAGTTGTTATATTTAGTCCTTTTAAAGAACATAATATTATGTACTTTTATGTGGAATTATAAATTTTATTATAATAATTAATTAATTATTTTTTATTTATTTTTTAATTGATTATATATTATAATGAAATATTGTGTTTTACTTAAAAAGAAAAATATTTTTCACTAAAAATATGTTGATTAATTATTTAAATATTTAAGGTAATTTATAATATTTTATTTTTCTGCAGCTTAAATTTTAGGTTTAAAAATTGTAAATAACACATAAATTGTATGCTTTGTATAAAAACAGAGAAACATTATTTATGAAATTATTTAATAATTTATAACCGAGTATTTAAGCCAAAGAAATGGCTATTATAAAAACTTGAGATTAAGAAGTTTAATTAAAAAAAAAAAACTCTCTCACTGAAGAAAACTTGAACATGAGAGAATATTAGTTCCTAAATACGCAATAATCTCTCGATCAGAGTGCTAATGACGTTAGACCCAAAAAAAATAAAAATAAAATAACTTTGCTGTCTTTTTTAGAATTTTATATTGCATTTGATTGGATGGAATGCAACTAACGTGGCTGATGAGCTCGACATGTGCATCAGAACGTGAAATCTTGATTGTCGTTTTTCTTGGGTGGCATTGAAAACTGAGCTTTATTACCTTGACCTTAATTATAAAATCAACTCTTTTTTGGCAAAAAAAATTTAATATGCTCTGACCCATCATTCAGTCGGGTTTTTTTTTATAAATGGAATTTTTTTTTTATTTCTATTCTTTTTTTTTTTTTCTTCTTCCTCTCAATCCTTTCTTTCTTTCTATTTTGAAGAGGGACTAACATGGTCTAGGTCTTAAAAAAAAAAAACTTTTTTTTTTAGAAATAAAATCAACCCTTCTTCTTATTCAACATAGTGATAACTGCAACCAATGTGCTCATGTGTCACATTGACGGTGTTATGACGTTAGACCCGGAAAAATTGCCTTTTAATGTATTTTAAAAACAAAATATTAAATTAATGCAAAACCAAAATATTTTATAAAAATTATATAACAAGGCACGTATGGAATATGTCTATTTAAGTCACTTACAAAGAAGATATGCACAACTTGCATTATTTAAATTTCCATTTGTGTAATTTGATAAATTATTTAAAAAACAAAAGGAACGATCATTGATAGTGTTGTTTTTTTTGTTGTTTTTGATATTGCATTGGATTGGATGGACTGTAACTAACATAACTGTTAGGCGTAAGATGTGCATTGAAATGCGAAATTTTGATTGTCGTGTTTCTTGCGTGACATTGGATACCTTAATTATTAAATCAACCCCTTTGCTTATTCAACATAGTGATAACTGCAACCAGTGGAATTGTGGAAAAACAATTAAGAGAGTATAATTACGATAGACTCTTTCTGGGTTTGTTTATGAATTGTCATTGACATAAGCGCTCGTTTTTGTTGACTGCTTCAATTTTACATCCAATAATTTATCAAGTAACGAGTGGGCAGAAAATCATGATGGTGACGGGCGGCGGTGGAGTTGATAATTACATATTCAACTACTAAGGGCCATTTGTACCAAAAAAATAAAAATAAACTACTGACGATCAAAATATTACATTTTGATATTTATATTAAGACATTAATGTTTTTTATATTGTAGAAGATAAAATTATCTTCTATACATATATAAAAGAGGTTTAGTGTTTGTCATTTTAAATGACATAAGTTATGTCCTTTTAGGAGAGAGATAGACATAGAAAAACAGAAATCATAGAAGAGAGAAAGTGAGTGATTTTTTTAATTTAAAATTCAAAAAGTGTGTTGGATTTATATGGAGCCAAGTGAAAAAAAGACAGAGAAAAAAAATATAAATTTCATATATTTACATTTTTATGTGTATATATGAAATAAAATTTTCTTAATAAGAAATACTAATCCCTTATATTAAACATCGCATTATCACGTATAAAGACCCGATCAACGGGTTTGGATTGTCACGTATCGTCTGTATAAGGATCCATGGTCAGAAATTGCGGATTTAGAATATGTCGTTTACGACAACGAGTCCCGTTTATGTAACACATGGCAAAGAAATTGGTTACCGTTTTGTCATGTTGCTTGGATAAGAACTCACTATTTCTGAGAGCAAGTCCTTCTGCGGCAACACGTTTGGACTCTCTGGGATTGACAGTAAATCCCAAAATGGGGCATTCTGGCAAAAAAAAATGTGGCATTTGAATAATTTATTTAGAAAATGTATTAATTAGATTGTTGTCCCCATATTCAAACGATGGAGGAGAGTTCGGTGAGGAAGTAAATTTTAACAGTAATAGGAACTAGTACCGGAACATGAGGGTTCAATTTTGATATTTGTTAGTACCATTCATCATATAAGTAGTTTAAATTTAAGGAAATTTTATATTTATAAATTTTTTTGTTTTTAACCACTTATAAATTACACTATATATTTTCGGGAGTAGATTCGGCTAGGAATGTATTCCTCAAAAATAGACTCGGCTAGAAATGTATTTCTAGAAATACATAATGTAATTTGTAAAAATTTATAAACAAAAAATTTGTAAATATAATTTATCCCTTAGATTTATAACACAACACCTTGTTTCAGAGACCGTAGGAGAAAGCCAACGGATCTGATATACAACCGATGAAGGCCGGTGTTTTGGCTAGCAACAAACCTTCAAAAGATAGAAATTCTAATTCTAATTTAAAACAAATCTCAGCCCCTAGAACAAATATAATTTCAAAGAAAACAAAAGCAGAAAATAAATGCAAAATAAGTCTCCTGTATGAACGGTACTCGAATTATAGAACAGTTAACAGTAACAGCTACAGTTTCTATTCTACAACTGTATGAACGGAAAATTACTCCTGTTACAGTAGTGTGAATAGTTGAAGTTAGTCCTCTCGCCTGCATCATAATTAATCTTCAGTCCTTCAAATTCATGTGAAAAATGAAACTAGTCGGTTAATTGATGGCGTTCAAATGTTAAATATTTCCTCTTATTGCTAGCTAGCTAGCTCCCTGCTCAGAATTCTTAAAGTGGAAGCCACATCAAATTTATTTGATCATAAAGTTCAACACATTTGCTTAAAAGAATTCACTTAAATGTTCACAAAGTTTGATTTTAGCATGGATTTTATGAAATACCTTTAGACTTGATGTGATATAGGATAATGTATTTTGATTTATAGTAAGGATATGGCCGTGTATATCATAAGGACACGGCCAAGAGCTCTACCAGATGCAATGAACTTTTTCAGACACAAAATGAATTTTCCATTACCAGTTTGACTATATTATCTTTATCTACTCCATCAGGGAAAGATTCGAGCTGTTATCTTCGCTCAAAAGGCAGCACAGAAATTTACGGATGGTACGGTGCTCCAATTACTATAATTGCTTTAGAATTAATCTATTTCTCTTAATGTGCTTTCTTTTTCTTACTTCATCTGGTTTTCATATGCAGTTCTTGGTACAGCTGAATACAAGCTCTCAGAAAAGACGAGAAAAGCTGGCTTTGGTATTGAACCAGATGATATTGCATCAATTGTTCGAGGCCATGACTACAAGAACTTCAGAAAAATTGGGGAAGTTGAAGGGATTAGAAGTAAACTCTCAGTCTCAGTCGATGAAGGTGTCAGTCAAGACAGCATACATATCAGGCAACAGATATATGGAGTCAACCGTTATACTGAGAAACCTTCTAAAAGCTTCCTGATGTTTGTTTGGGAAGCTCTGCATGACATAACACTAATCATTCTCATTGTTTGTGCTATAGTTTCTATAGGTATAGGGCTTGCCACTGAAGGATGGCCAAAGGGTGTTTATGACGGTCTGGGAATCATACTTAGTGTATTCTTGGTTGTCATTGTTACTGCTATCAGTGACTACCAGCAATCCCTGCAGTTCAGGGATTTGGACAAAGAGAAGAAAAAGATCTTTGTTCATGTCACCAGGGACGGGAAAAGACAGAAGATCTCAATTTATGACTTGATAGTGGGGGATATTGTTCATTTGTCAACTGGTGATCAAGTTCCAGCTGATGGGATTTATATATCAGGATATTCATTGCTAATTGATGAATCAAGTCTTTCAGGTGAGAGCGAACCAGTAAATATAGATGATCAAAGACCTTTTCTTCTTTCAGGAACCAAAGTGCAAGATGGTCAGGGGAAGATGATAGTTACAACTGTTGGCATGAGGACTGAATGGGGAAAGTTGATGGAAACTCTAAGTGAAGGGGGAGAGGATGAGACTCCACTGCAGGTGAAATTGAATGGAGTTGCCACAGTTATTGGTAAAATTGGTTTGACTTTTGCTGTGCTGACATTTGTGGTGTTGATAGTAAGGTTTCTGGTTGAAAAAGCAGTTCATGGTGAGTTTGCTAGTTGGTCTTCAAATGATGCAATGAAGCTGCTAGACTACTTTTCTATTGCTGTAACCATAATAGTTGTTGCGATTCCCGAAGGATTACCATTAGCTGTCACACTCAGTCTTGCTTTTGCAATGAAAAAATTAATGAATGACAAGGCACTTGTGAGACATCTTTCTGCGTGTGAGACTATGGGTTCGGCTAGTTGCATTTGCACAGATAAGACGGGGACATTGACCACTAACCATATGGTGGTTAATAAAATTTGGATATGCGAAAAGACCATGGAAATTAAAGGTAATGAGAGTGTAGACAAACTGAAAACAGAGATATCTGAAGAAGTTCTAAGTATCCTTTTGCAGGCTATATTTCAAAATACTTCTTCCGAAGTAGTTAAGGACAAAGATGGAAAGAACACAATATTGGGAACACCAACAGAATCAGCACTAATGGAATTTGGCTTGCTATCAGGTGGTGATTTTGATGCCCAGCATAGAGCCTATAAGATACTTAAGGTTGAGCCTTTTAATTCAGTACGGAAGAAGATGTCTGTGCTTGTGGGTCTTCCTGATGGAGGGGTCCGAGCTTTCTGCAAAGGTGCTTCAGAAATAGTATTAAAAATTTGTGACAAAATTATTGATAGTAATGGAACAGCTGTTGATCTTCCTGAAGAGCAGGCGAAGAATGTCTCAGACGTTATCAATGGCTTTGCCTCTGAAGCTTTGAGAACTCTTTGTTTGGCTGTCAAAGATATAAATGAAACCCAAGGAGAAACCATCATCCCTGATAGTGGCTATACTCTGATAGCCATTGTGGGAATCAAGGATCCTGTGCGCCCTGGGGTTAAGGAAGCTGTCGAAACTTGTTTAGCAGCTGGAATAACTGTCCGCATGGTCACTGGTGATAACATAAATACAGCCAAGGCTATAGCTAAAGAATGTGGCATACTTACTGAGGATGGTGTAGCCATAGAAGGACCAGAATTTCGTGACTTGCCTTTAGAGCAAATGAAGGATATCGTACCAAGAATTCAGGTTGTGATCTTATTGAAAGTTCTTTGACTCTCAATCTCGTTTGAAGATGCTTGTCTTTCTCATGTGCTTAATATGGTTTCAGGTAATGGCACGATCCTTACCTCTTGACAAGCATACCTTGGTAACCCATCTGAGGAATATGTTTGATGAGGTTGTAGCTGTTACTGGTGATGGAACCAATGATGCTCCTGCACTGCATGAGGCAGACATCGGGCTAGCCATGGGCATAGCTGGAACCGAGGTTTGTGTCTATTATACATTTACTGTGGTGAATCTGACTGTATCAAGTGTATCAGTCCACTGGACTGCTTTTGTATAGTTGCTCTGCATCTTGTTTAAGACAATGTTATCTTCCGCTCTAGTTACATTATATATTGCTCAATTGTTTATTTCCTTTCCCTCTTGCTCCTCCACCTCTCTTCTGTTTTGAGTGGCAGAGCCAGACTATATATATCCTTAAATTAATAGATGAGACTGACTGTTAAACCAGTCTGTTATTATCTCTGTTCAGGAAGCAGTATAGATGACTAAAACTGCAGCTTTTAGAAATCTTTGCTATATTTTCTCTTCATTTAATAAACATTGATGCCTTCCAAGGACATAATCTCCTTTTTTGTATCTTCTGCACCTTCTGAATTTTTCCACCTGATTGCAATATCTTATTTGTGATCCAATTATTCCCCCTCTCATGTAAGGTACATTTGCAGCTGGGTATTCCTTTTCATCTTTTTTTTGGTTACAAAGCTGGGTATCCATTATTTATTTATTTATTTATTTTTTGAAATTATACCTTTACAGGTTGCTAAAGAAAATGCTGATGTCATCATAATGGATGATAATTTCGCTACTATTGTCAACGTGGCCAAATGGGGACGGGCTATATACATAAACATTCAAAAATTTGTGCAGTTTCAGTTAACAGTCAATGTCGTTGCTCTGGTTATTAACTTCGTTTCTGCATGCATCACTGGTTTGTTGATTTATAGAAGTTTTGTTTTCCATTGACGTGATGTTGAATCTATTTCAAGTAACAGCTATAAAGTTTTTTTTCCCCCCCAGGATCTGCTCCACTCACAGCTGTTCAGTTGCTTTGGGTCAACTTGATTATGGACACTCTGGGTGCATTGGCCCTGGCTACTGAACCTCCTAATGATGGACTTATGAAAAGACCCCCAGTTGGAAGGAGAGCAAGTTTTATAACCAAACCCATGTGGAGGAATATCTTTGGTCAAAGTTTATATCAACTAATTGTCCTTGCGGTTCTCAATTTTGACGGGAAGAGGCTATTAGGAATTAGTGGTTCAGATGCAACTATAGTGCTCAACACTTTGATATTCAACTCCTTTGTATTTTGCCAGGTAAAATTTCACATCCACCCTCTCAATCACCAACTGTAATTTATTGTACTAGGCGAAACGATAGTTAAACTCCTAGAAGAAACCAGATGATGTTTTAATCCAAATAGTTGACAAAAATTTGGAGAATTTTGAACATTATTAAAAAATTTACTCAAACTTTACTGAATGATGCTTCCTATATAATTCATTTTACACGCATGAATTATCTGTAAATTTTAAGTATGTTTATTATTATACTTGATCTTTTCTTTTGTGAAAATAATTTATATGACAATTCTGTGTAAATAACGGAACCACCTCTTCTTGTATGGATGGATGATAGAATAACAAAGTTCAAACCTCTTCAAAGTTCTAATGTGAAACGACTTATAAATTGAAAAGTTGTAACGTGTCATACAAGATCTAAGGTGTGCAATTCTTGTGTAAACGGAGCTAGAGGCATTGGTATGAGATGAACTAGGACTCAGTCGAGGTCGTTCTAAGGTTGGTGATGGTGAATTCTGCCGTATGAATAATGGAAGATAGGTTAGTGTGTGGTTACTTTCAGAGTGCTTGAATGCTCAGAGGTTGAGAGGAAATGCGATCTGTGAATAGCCAAAAGATATGTTATATAGATAGATAGGAAATATTGCAGAATGTATGACGTGGAAGGGATGTGTGAGTGTGTGGGGGACCAAATTTTCAGTAGTGGAAAATTTATTATTTGTGCGAGTGTGAGGAGATATTTTGTGATAAGGAAGTTTTGTCCTGAATTGAGGAATGGACAATGGGATGTGCTAAGGGCCCAATGATGCAATCCGGAACAACAACTTTGCTATTGCCTCCATGATCCATCAATATTTGGCTCTATACTGTAGTAAAACATTCAAGATAATGTATAAAATGATCTAGTTCCATTCCATTGCGTTCTGCTTATTTTGTTTTTTGTTTTCCCTTTGTGACTCTTTCTTTTGCCAGGTGTTCAATGAGATAAACAGCAGAGAAATTGAAAAGATAAACATATTCAGAGGCATGTTCAACAGCAAGATATTTTTTATGGTAATTTTCTCCACAGTGGCATTTCAAGTGATCATAGTTGAGTTCCTGGGAACATTTGCCAGCACGGTGCCTCTAAACTGGCAACTCTGGTTACTCAGCGTTTTACTTGGAGCAGTTAGCATGCCTATAGCTGTTATCCTCAAGTGCATCCCAGTTGAAAGAGATACTACAAAGCACCATGATGGTTATGAGGTACTGCCTTCTGGTCCCGAGCAGGCATAAAATATTTGAAGAGTATGGTTTTTTAACCCTCTTTTCATTTTATTTTGTGAAACGTTGATGATATTTTGGCCTTTGAGGAATGCATGTTTCTTAACTTTTTTATTTTTTGTTTTTGGGCAACTAATCTCACGAAAGGAGTGGATAAAATTCCACACACCAACCTCTGACTAAAGTACTTAAGGACTTATAGTGCAAACTAATGTGCTACACTTTTTTGAAGTCTATGTTAAATATGTTGCCATTTTTGTCTACTTGTCACCTATTATATTGCAAAGATGTCAATAGGCACCTTATAAATGCTTTGTTGAGCAGAAACTTTGTTTCCATGAATGCTTGAATCTGGGAGTACATTTTCATTTATAATAAACGAGTGTTGAATATTTAAACTCAGTTTTATGATCTAATATGTTTAACTGGACTTCAATTTAAAAAAATAAAATAAAATGTTTTTAGAGGCTCTCCTATAAATTCATTCTTATTCTTCATAAGATAATTCATAGATGCACATTTTCTAACTTATAAAAAAACAAAATGGCAAATTTTCCTCAAGTCAAGATAATTTAAGAGTGATACATCAATTTTCGATATATACAACAAAGTTAACACGATCACTTCCTTTATTTTTCCTCACATAAACTTATTTAATAACTTTATAACAGCATCAAACTATATACTCATTGTTTCAGCCATGCAAATGATTCGAAATCTTGGGAAACACATGTTGGTTCCAAGGTTCAGAATTGTGGATATTTGCTGGTGAGGAAAAAAGATCTTGTTTGAAAGAAATTTTATCTCAATTATAACATTAAATATAATTGGTAAATTAAAATATTTAAAACAATTGAGGAAATAAGGACTAAAATAAACACGGTAAATATATAGGAAATAAAAACTTAATGAATCCTCTGAGACACTATTTATATTTATATCTGTAGACAAAAATGTAAAGCTAATCAAACTCGCAAAGAGTGCCAAAAACAAACGACAAATGTTGAGTTTCCATTTCAGATATTAAAGCCCAAATTTATTTTACATGCAAATCAAATTTCCATTAGCCCAACAAAAATCAATTTCGACCAAACCATTAAAAATAAGTTAATGATAAGGAGTTTCAAATTTAGATAAGATATAAAAAAGAAGGGTACTACCTACAATTTTTTTTTTTTTTTACCTTACACCCACTTTTACAAAAGTACAAGCTAAAATCTTGTGGGCCACTTTAGTTGCCTTTTGCCACCCATTAAAAATTGTAAGCGGTTGTTAACTACTTGCAATCTATGATCTATAACACTCACATGGTACACTTTAATTCTAAAAAAATGACATATTTCGACACGTTTTGATATTAAATAATATTTTTAATATATATAATATAATTTATACTTAATACATATAACAGTTCATAATAAATCATATAACTAATCAAATATTCAAATTTCATAACATAAATATAAATAAAAATAATCTTTCATACCTTTTAATTTTTCATGTCAAATTTCATAACAGAAAAAAATTGATTTATAAATTTTTTTTATTTTTAGTTAATAAAGTAAAATTAAGACTTAAAAAACAAACATGTCAGAGCATTGACCACGTGTCGAAAAAAATTGACTGTGTCAAAAAAACGTGTCGAAAAGTTGATCATGTGTCTCAAAATGTTGACCGCGTATCGGAACATATCGGTGTCCGACCATGTCCGACATGCATTTTTTTTTAAAAAAGTGCATGTCTGAGTATCGTAGCTTGCAATAGCACCTTATTCAAACCTCATTTAGGTGGCCCACTTTGAATTCATATTTTGTGCTATCAAATTATGACAACAAAAATTCAATTTTGAGTTCTTCGTCGGCCACCTATATTAGTAAAAGTACATGATTTTAAAAACAAACTCAACTTTTTAGTACCCTATAACACCCAAACCTAGAATAACATAACTCTAATACAGGTTAGACTGTTAGTTTTGTCATTTGTTTAACATTTTTAACTTTACAACTATAATTTTTTATGGGATTCCTTATTATCATTTCTTATTTAGAAATTTTATTCTATTTTGAATTATATTATTGTAATTTAACTTATTAGAGTGTTTAACTATGTTAGGCCAATAAATGAAGAGCTCATGTTTTCTTGTGTTGCATGATAATATGAGAGAACAAAAATAAAGACAAATTAAATGTGGATTCCACATTTTATATTAAAAAAAAAAAAATTAATTGGTACGAAAGACAAATTTTTTTTTGCTCTACTATAGCAGGAGAGCATGATTTCCAATAAATGAATCTTCAACATAAACAGTTAGGATGATTTTGATTAATATGTATTAGAGTAAAGTAATGCAGAGTAATACATAAGGGTATTTTTGTATTATCAGCTGAGGGTATCTCTGTAATAGCACAAGTACAGATTAGTTAGTATTAAACTGATTCTGTTCAAACAGAATCAGTGACGTGTCATTTGTGTCATTAACATAGCTCTATAAAAGAGCAACGCGTACTGTTCATATTCATTCAATAAACACATTAGATATTTTCAGTTCTCTCTCTCTAGCATTCTCTGAATGACTTCTCTTTCTCTCTCTCGTTCATCTTCTTCTCCCTTTCTTTGATGGTATCAGAGCTCTCATCCTGAGGGCCTGATACGAACGTGTTCACTATGGCTTCCGCATCGCAATCTCCGTCGCTGACTTCCACCATAAACGGAACAACAGAAGCTCGTTCTTCGTCATCTCCGTCCTTGTTCAACCACTCCATCTCAGTCAAGCTAACTGAAAGCAACTTTCTTCTATGGAATCAGGTTGTTGAACCTGTCATTACTTCTCATCAACTCCACAAATTTCTTGTGAACCCTAAAATTCCTCTACAGTACGAATCTGAACAAGATCGATTTAATGAAGTAGTCAACCCTGCATACACTGAATGGATCCGTCAGGATCAGATGCTTCTTTCATGGATTCTGTCAACGATCTCTGAAGATATACTGAATGAGATCCTAGGTGTCAATCATGCATACGAAGCATGGGACCAGATCCACAAATTCTTCCAAGGAATTATGAGATCTAAAGCTCATCAGCTTAGATCTGAGCTTCGAACCATGAAGAAAGGTGGAAGGTCAGCTGCTGAATATCTCAGGCACTTCAAATCATTGTGTGATGAACTAAAAGCTATCAAGAGTCCTGTATCCTTTGAAGAACAAACTGAAATCATCTTGGCTGGTCTCCCTGCGGAGTTTAATCCTTTTGTCACATCTGTGAGAGCTCGTGAGAATCCTTACTCAATAAATGATTTGAGAGTTGAGTTGATGTCTTATGAACAGATGCTAACCAAGCAGAATGAAACACTCCTTGCTGAATCAATGTCTGTGAATGTTGTGCAAACAACTACTACTGATCAGAAGGATGACTCTGTATCTGGAAGAACTCCGTTTGGTGCTATTCAACAAAATCATGACCAAATTCAGCAGAATCATGACCAAAACTTTCAAAGCCAAAGATCATATGGATTCAGTAGAGGAAGAGGAAGGTCTTTTGTTCGTACTAACAGAAATAGCAGAGGTAGAGGACGCACCAACGTGCAATGTCAGCTGTGTTACAAATTTGGACATAGTGTTCAAAGCTGTTGGTACAGGTTTGATGAAAATTTTGCACCTGAATCATCCGCATCTGAAGCTCCACACTATTTTCCTGCTCCTCCACAGTCCTTTCGAAGGCCACATCAATACATCCGTCCTCCTGCACATCCTCCTCAAGTGCTGCTCACAGCTAATCAACTCACATCAAATCAACTTCAGCAGATCTCTCAACCACAGTGTAATGCTTCCTCACAGGGACAAGGACTCTTGCCAACTCCTCAGAATGTCCAAGCTATTGAGTGTTATCCAGACTCAGGAGCCTCTCATCATGTCAAAGCTCATCCTCAAAACCTTCTGCAAAGTACTCAGTTGTCAGGAGCTGATCAAGTCTATATAGGGAATGGACAAGGTCTAAGGGTTAATGCTACTGGTTTATCCTCCTTTCCTTCTCTTTTTCAACCACACACTCAACTACACCTTAACAATCTATTACTTGTCCCTTCTATCACCAAAAATCTCATTAGTGTAAGTAAATTTGCTAAGGATAATGGAGTCTATTTTGAATTTCACCCCTTTACTTGTTGTGTGAAATCACAGGAATCCCATGAAGTGCTGCTGGAAGGTGACTTGGAATCAGATGGTTTATATCGTTTCCAAGAGATCTGTCTCACTCCTAACTCAAGACAGAATTGTCATCCTACTTCAATGTCTTTTTGTAATACACATATAGGTCATAGTCCTACTTCAAAGTCCTCAATAAATGTAATCTCTAGTCAACAGAAAGTTGTAGCTTCCTCATATATGTACTCCTTATGGCATTGTCGTTTAGGTCATCCTCATACTGAGGCTCTTAATTCTGTCCTGAGGTCTTGTAATATCCCCATTCCAAATAAAAATGATATTGAGTTTTGCTCAGCTTGTTGTTTGGGTAAAATACATCGATTACACTCTCCATCTTCTACCACAGTTTATGACAAACCTTTTGATTTAATATTTAATATTTAGTGACATCTACTTTGGGTTTTAAATACTACATATCCTTTGTGGATGCACATTCCAGATACACCTGGATCTTTCCTCTCAAACAAAAATCTGATGCATTAGTTGTGTTTTCTCAATTTCAAGCTCTTGTTTCCAATCATTTTCAGTCCTCTATTAAAGCCCTCCAAACTGACTGGGGAGGAGAATTTCGATCTTTTCATCAAACTTTAAAACAACAGGGTATTGTTCATAGGATCATATGTCCCCACACTCATCATCAAAATGGAGTGGTTGAGAGGAAACATCGTCACATAGTTGAAACAGGTCTCACATTGCTTGCTCATGCATCTCTACCTATCAAATTTTGGGATCATGCATTTATTTCAGCTGTTCATCTCATTAATTGTCTTCCAACTGCTGCATTAAATTTTGAAGTACCCTTCACCAAGCTTTACAAATCCATTCCTGACTATACGAGTCTTAAGGTCTTTGGTTGTGCCTGTTTCCCATTCTTGAGACCCTATAACAACCATAAATTAGATTTTAGAAGCAGTGAGTGCATATTTCTTGGTTACTCTCCCAACCATAAAGGGTATAAATGCTTGAACTCTTCTGGTCGTTTATTCATCTCCAAAGATGTTCTTTTCAATGAAACAAAATTCCCTTATTCTTCCTGGACAACAGTCCCTTCCCCTGACACTGTCTGTCCTATTTCACAACCTGTTACAAATTTAATTCCCTTGGTTCCATCCTCACCTTTACATACAGGTTCTTCTTTCTTTGATCATCAGTTGTCATCTCCTGTTTCTTCTAACTCACACCCTGTTGATCCCAACACTGCCACTATTGTACATCAGTGTAATTCTACTCTCCCAGGTCAATTCTCCCAGTCACCTTCATCATCCTCCACAGCAGCATGCACTTCACATTCCCACGGTGAGCACACACCTTCAAGTAATTCAGGTACTCCTTTATCCTCTCCTTTACTTACTCCTTCTCCATCTTCCAACATCAGTTCTGGCTCAGAATATATCCCCTCTGGCACTCTTTCTCCCTCTTCTGATCATTCCATCATTACTCGCTCTAAGTCTGCCCTTATACCTCGCATTCTTCTCACCACCCTTGAACCTACATCAGTCAAGCAAGCTATTTGTAATCCACACTGGCTTGCTACCATGCAATCTGAATTCCAAGCCCTTCAAGCCAACAATACCTGGACCTTGGTTCCACTTCCCAAAAACAGAATGGCTATTGGTTGTAAGTGGGTCTTCCGAATTAAGGAGAATCCATATGGGACTATTAGCAGATATAAGGCACGGTTAGTGGCTAAAGGGTTTCACCAACAAGCTGGTTTTGACTACACTGAAACCTTCTCCCCAGTTGTCAAACCTATTACCATTCGGACCATACTTACCATTGCCATCTCTCTTTTGGTTGGCAACTAAGGCAATTAGATGTCAACAATGCCTTTCTCAATGGCATTTTAGAAGAAGAGGTTTATATGAATCAACCTCCTGGTTTTGAATCTTCTGACAAATCTCTTGTTTGCAGGCTTCATAAGGCTCTCTATGGTTTAAAACAGGCACCAAGGGCATGGTTTGACAAGCTTAAGGTCTCTTTGCTTCAGCTTGGCTTTACAGCAAGCAAATGTGATCCTTCTCTCTTTCTCTACCGCAAGTCCAATCACTGCATCTTTCTCTTAGTTTATGTGGATGATATTATCATCACTGGAAATGATGCTTCTCTTCTTCAATCGGTGATACAGAACCTGAATGTTGCCTTTGCTTTGAAGGATCTTGGTGATCTTGATTTCTTTCTTGGTATTGAGGTTAAAAAGACCTCTTCTGGTGCTCTTTTTCTCTCACAGTCCAAATATGTTCGCAACCTGCTTACTAAAGCTAACATGGCTGAGGCAAAGGGCATCTCCACTCCTCTTCCCTCTGGTTGCAAGCTATCCAGATATGGTTCTAACTATCATCCTGATCCTTCCTTTTATCGTTCAATTGTTGGAGCCTTGCAGTATGCTACACTCACCAGGCCAGAGATTAGCTTTGCTGTCAACAAGGCTTGTCAGTTTATGGCTCAGCCCCTTGAGGATCACTGGACTGCTGTTAAACGAATATTACGGTATCTTAAAGGCACTATTCATCATGGTATGTTATTGCAGCCTTGTCATCCTAGTCATCCCTTCTCCATTACTGCTTTATGTGATGCTGATTGGGCTGGAGACCCTGATGACCGTAGATCAACTTCTGGTGCTTGTGTGTATTTTGGTTCGAATTTGATTTCCTGGTGGTCTAAGAAGCAATCACTACTGGCTCGTTCAAGCACCGAGACTGAATATCGCAGTCTAGCTCTTGCCACAGCTGAGGTTCTCTGGTTAAAGTCACTTCTTAGTGAACATCACATTCAGTTTACTACCCCCCTCATATTGTGTGATAATCTCAGCACAGTATCTTTGTCCCACAATCCTGTGCTCCATGCTCGCACAAAGCACATGGAATTGGATATCTTTTTTGTTCGGGAACGGGTTCTGGCTAAGGATGTTCGTGTATGTCACATTCCTGCTGTTGATCAAATTGCTGATACCTTGACTAAGAGTCTCTCAGCCTCACGGTTTGCTGCTCTCAGAGACAAACTCAGTGTTACTGATCTCTACTCTCTTTCTCATCCACCCTGAGTTTGCAGGGGGCTATTAGAGTAAAGTAATGCAGAGTAATACATAAGGGTAGTTTTGTATTATCAGCTGAGGGTATCTCTGTAATAGCACAAGTAAAGATTAGTTAGTATTAAACTGATTCTGTTCAAACAGAATCAGTGACGTGTCATTTGTGTCATTAACATAGCTCTATAAAAGAGCAACGCGTACTGTTCATATTCATTTTAACAAATACATTAGATATTTTCAGTTCTCTCTCTCTAGCATTCTCTGAATGACTTCTCCTTCTCTCTCTCGTTCATCTTCTTCTCCCTTTCTTTGAATATGTTATTAATTTATTTATTTTTTTCATTCACAGAATATCTGAAATTTTAGTTGGAGGAACACTCATGTTTGTTAGTCAATGGCCTACCTAATCAAAAAGAGTACTACTAGTTAATAAGTCCAAGAAGAGTACTTGAAGTTTATCAGTAAGTAATGTACCCTATTAAAAAAAAACAGAACGGAAAAGAAAAGTAAAGAAACACTCTTAGCTATCCTTCATATGTCAGAATCCCAAAAAAAACATGGTACCTTCGAAAAAATATAGAAATAAATAACAAAGCATGTGGCATTATGCTGCTCAATCAGAACTAGTTTGCCTAGATGGGAGCCAAAATAAGTTCCAAAAGCTTAATGATCCTCACTTTCATCTTCTCTAAGAACAAATGTTTAATCCTGGCTCATTTTATGTAGCTGTGTAGCATTATACTCCATTCTCACAACCTGGGTATCTACTTTGAAGAATTTCTATTGTCCATTATAATGTAAAGGCCTATGAGGCAAACAAAGATCTGAATTCATAAGTTGTAAAACCAGTAAAACCAATCATATTTAGCATCTTCAAGAACATATTATATGCATAGTAGTCAATAGCGGCGCTATTGCGCCGCAAGCCACGCCAATTGCGCTTTGCGGAACTTCGCCGTTACCATTCGCCCCTCGCCACACCAAATCGCAATAGCAGTCGTTGCAGCCGCATTTGTAGCCAAATCTCGCCGCAACAGTGTCTTTTTATGATTTTAACCCTAACTCACTCTCTCTTTTTGCCTCTCTGTTGTGCGTCTCTCTTCTGCCTCTCTTGCTTTATTCATCGCACTCGTTTCTTCCCTTCTCTACTCTCTTATAGTATTGAAGTTCAATGTGGAAGCCATGAACGAAGAAGCAAAGCTTCGAGTGAGAGAGAGCAGATGATGGAGAAAAGGAGAAAAAGTGAGAGAAATAGTAAGAGAGAGAGAGAAGAACAGATGAAAGAGAAAAAGAAAAACTATGAGAGAGAGAACAAATGAAAGAGAAAAAGAGAAAAAGTGAAAGATTTTGATCTATCTTTATTCAAAGAAAATAAAAATACATTTGTCAGAAAAGTTATTCACAAGTCACGATAACCAAGTAACCTAGTTATAGTAACAGTGGGTAAAACTATTTCTATATCCCAAAAAAAAAAAAAAAGAATGCATCATTAAAAAGTAACTAAGGTAAAACACTAAAGTAACTATGATAAATCTGGTAAATCAGTAAAGTGTAGTTACAACTAAAGGTAGTAAAACTATAACTAAAGTTTGAACACTTATTACTAAGAGGTAACATGTCAACTCTGCCTTTATTTTTAATTTTTTTTATTATTTGTATTTTTTTTAGGTGTTATTATTTTTTTAATAATTTATTATGTTACACACACATATATACATATAATTTGTTTTTTTAATAAATAATTTTTTCCGCAACCGCAACTCGCAATAATGCTATAACGGTTTTGAGGGTTAGCTGCATCAGGCCGCAATCCACATTTGATAACTATGATTCTATGAATGATGCACTTCAAAAATAAAATAAAATAAAATACACAGAAAAAAACAACAGTCTAGCGCAGCTCATAAACTCAAGAACCCTGCAATTTCAAGCTCTCCAGCTGCTCCCGTGCTGTAACCTAAGGTCAGAAAATGAGATAATACCAATTTAGCCATGAGCCACATTCCATAGAACAGCATTGCTTAAATTCAAATCCTCATAAAGGGGAGCATAATAACTTCAACCATTTTCATAAAATCATCATGTATAACCATTGGAATAGCCTCAAATGAATAAAGCGCAAAAAGAGAGAAAAAGCAATCAAGATGAACATTTATGCAAATTCTAACCATCTAGATTGACTTTGAAAATTCAAGCATATAGTCGTTGAAATTTAAATCTTACAAATGAAAGCAGTTTTGCCACCATACTAGTTGCTTACAGGAACTATCTTACCTTGTCCAACTATTTGTTTTTCTTACATTTTTTTTTTAAGAAAAAAATGTGGTCCTTCTCTATATACTTACTATACAAGCTTTTACTAATTAATCTATATTTATTTTATGAGAACTGAAAGAAGAGTTAGTAATACTTTCTCTAACTTCAGATCAGCATCCTTGAGCGATCTCAGAAGATGAATTATGCGGTATTGAAGTTTTTCATTTTCTGCAGCAACCATCTTAGCCTGCAAATAAAATCATTGGTAAACAGATGTATGACACAGCCCATAACAAAAATGAAATGTAAATCAGCCATAAATAAGAACAACCTTCTCTTTTTCTGAAATTAACTCTGCATTTGCATCTTTTAACTTTGAATGAAGATCCTCAATCACTTTCAAGTGTTCTTCATTTCCAGCATCTGAGCAAGTTTCATATATATATATATATATATATATATATATATATGGGTAATTCAGGTCAACAATCTCAGGGACAGACTTTAATCTGAAAATACTATTCGTCGTGCTGAATACCTTGGCACCTACCTACCTTTTCTACTATTAAAGAAAGCTTCAATTATTGATAAACGGTCCTACAATAAATATATGCAGGTAAGTGAGTTGCAGGAAGTCCTTCAGTAATTTACTCATACAAAGAGCTTTAACGAAACTCACCAAGAGAGAGAGAGAGAGAAAGATTTAACTAAACTCTATGATGAAGCAATTTCATAGTTTTTGGAAACAGAGAAAAAAAGATCACATGGACTTGAGCCATAAGAGTCATTTGAATTATAAACATAATGATAATAATTGTCAATGTCACCCTCTGTATCAAAAAGAATTTGAAGTAAATTCCAATTCCAACAAGGAGATTTTGTTTCAAAAATCTCCTTTTTGTTTTTACAATGATGCCATGCCTTAAAACACTGCCAAAATTTCATGCTGTTGGTAGTGCAGCAAGTCTATGGTAAGAGAATATAGTTGAAACTCAATTCCATATCTGCACAAGATATAAGCAAATTGCTGGAAAGCAAAGGAAACAGAATGTCTCGGGGCAGTCCTTTCCATAATATTATATTGACAGGTTCAATGTTAAATTAAATCCACTCTAACCCAGATCCATACATGGTTCAGTTTCACATAATCTGGGTCGGCTGATGTCCATGAAGCACAGAAACTGCTGCTTCTTGATTATATAAGTTAACAAGATTTCCTCTTAACAAAAGAAGACACGTAGAGAACCAATTGGAGCCAATTAAAAATGCATGGAGTCAAATGGGTGTAAGCATTGTTAGGGAAGGGTGGAGTGTCACACAAACAAGACCATGTATTAATTTCATGGCTGTCACAGAGAATGAACCTATGTTTCGAAATGCCACAGATTATTCAAATGAGATAAAAGACAAAGATTTCATTGCCAAACAAATGAGAGATGTAATTGTGGACGTTGGACCCTCAAATATGGCGCAACTTGTGATGGATAATACAGCTGTTTGCAAGGCGGCAGTTTTAATCATTGAGGCTTCCTTCTATTTATTGGACTCCTTGTGCTGTGCATACACCAAATCTTGCTTTGAGGAGAATAAATGTGTAACCAAGAAAAAACAAAAACAACAATGTCGTTTACCAAGAACATTCTTGGATCATCGAAATTGAGGAAGATGTCATGTTTATCAAAAATTTCATCATGGGCAACTCCATACACTATCAATTTTTAATTCATTGAAGTTGCTTCCCATTGCTCCAACACGATTTGTCTCCACTATAGTAATATTTGGTGGTGGTGGTGATGGTGATGTGACGTTGATAGTAGTGGTGGTGGTGGTGGTGACGACAGTGGCTGCGGCGACAGTGGTGGTGATGGCAGTGGCTGCAGCGACGATGGTGGTGGTTAGTGATGGTGACGGTGGTGGTAGTGATGATGGTGGTGACAATGATGGTAATGGTGGTGGTTAGTGATGGTGACGGTGGTGGTAGTGATGATGGTGGTGACAATGATGGTAATGGTGGTGGCAGTGGTAGTGGTAGTGGTACGACAATGGTGGCGGTGGTCGTGTCGGGATGGTGGTAAAGATGGTAGTGGTGGTGGTACGACGACGGCGGTGACGATGGTGGCAGTGGTCGTGTCGGGATGGTGGTAATGGTGAAAATGGCAGTGATGGAGAACGATTGAGAGAAACAAGTGTTTCTCATTTTTTGATTTTTTTTTTTCTGTTACCCACCATAGAAATTGAACCAGTTCATTCGCGAGAACAAAGAAAACCGGTTTTGTCAAACACTGTTTCTATCCATTTTTGTTCTTGGGAACAAAAATTGAAAAAAACTGATTCTGAGAATGTTGTCATGCACACCCAAAGTGTTTACACTATTACAAAAATTTAGAATCGGGCTTTCTATTACATTTTTCCTATGATAATGGGCCTCACAAAACAAGATACCAATAGGCATCATTTTATAGTGCAAACATGAATTGCACTCCACTTTCAACCATCCCACATTTATGTTGTACCAAGCAAATACGAAATAATTTTAGTTCCAATTTTTCTCCCTACCTACATTATGCTCAACCATGCACAACCTTAGGGACAAGCTAGCAATCAAAAAGGAGACAGGTAAATGAAACAGAACAGACATCTGATAAATAAGCATTTTTTAAAACACTTTAAGATCTGAGGTACAATAAGTTGCCAATGAATTGGAAAAATATATTGTAACAAATGTATGTTCTACTAGAATATTTACCATTAAACATTAATTTTTTGGTAGATACTGTCCGAAACTTTAACAGCCCAGTTAATCTGATTTTGAGTATGAGCCTCTCCACTCTCTCCACTAAGATCTAGTTGGGTTGCCATTGGACCAACAATTCTTGGGTCCATTTAATATTTTTTTAACTAAGTTAAATGTCCTATGTTAGATAACTTCTAGGGTCACGTCACACCCTTGTTCAAAATGTATGAGTTTGAACGAATATAGCTGTTTATTTAGGGCATTATATTTATTAAACAGTTGAAATCTTCATACCCTACAAGCATGTTTTTTGGTTGAATTAGCAAAAAATGAGTATTCTAAAGACCCAGATTCATCGTAATCTTTAATAGCAAACAGCTTAAGGAATGGTTAATTTTCGAAAAAATAAAAAAAACAATGAAATGAAAGAGAGTGATGGGAGGTTAAGAAAATGATTACTACTGACCTCTGCTTCTGAAATTCTCTCATAGAAAGGCTTTAAGGTGAGTTCGAGGTCGCTTACTTTTTCAGACTCAACCATTCTTTTCTATATTCGCCAGCCTTAAAACCCTATCTATGTTACTCGCACGCTCCTCGCTAAATTGCTAATTATCAAACTGAACTGTACAAATTAGGGTTCGACGTTGATTTATCTCTTACACGTGTGGGCACATATGGGATATGTAAAAAGGGATGAGAGAAAAAAATATAGGCGATATGTTTTTTTATTTTATTTTTGAGTTATTCATCATTTTATAATTAATACGATTTATAAATGGGTCTTAAAATTAAGATTTTGGGAGAGCCGCTCCTGAAAGGGTTCGACATTGTTCGGGATTAATCTTCGGTTACAGTCGGAGGATACCCTTCAGATTACTGAAATTAAAATTTTAAATTTTTATCAAAAATTGTATTGGAGAAAAATAAATACATGTTTTTATTCTTCCACCTGCTCATTTTTTATTGTGCTAAGTGAATTACCATTATTAGTATATGGACTAATATATTTCTATATATGTTTAGTTAATAATTTTATCTTGTATTCAATTCTACAAATAAATCCAGAAATAACAAATTGGCTAAAGTAAACGATTAACTACCAGAAACCAAAGCAAACCAAAAAAAAATATATTAATAACTACCATTTGTTGGTGTGGTCGTATAATTATTGTTTTTATATTTTTATTTCTTTAGATTTTAATTTTTTTATTTACTCTTTATTACATATTCGTATAAAATTATGTTTCACTAGTAGCGAAGCGATCAGTGACCCATAATAATAATAATAATAATAATAATATAAAGCATTGATTTTTTAAATTTATTGGAACTCGATGAAATATTAAGGCTGGTGGGTGACCGTAGACTTGGACATAAAATTCAATCGAATGACACTTTAAGTTGTTTTAAGATTTAACGCCATCTTTTTTTTTTTTCTTTTTTAAACAAAAGAACTAAGTCACGAAACAAAAAAAGAACACAAAAATAAACCTAATTTTAACGCCATCTTTATGAATTCATAACTTTTTCTATGACTATCTAAATTAAACGACTAAGTTACCCTTCTAAAGCTTAGAGCTTAGGATGTCTATTCTAATGTTTCAAAATATTAGCCTGCCATGGAATGTGTTCCTGTTGTAGATAGAAATTAAGAGCCTACACAAAAATTCCATAACTCCCTCGTTCTATGAACAAATAAGATATCATTTTAAAGCCTTAAATGTCTAGTTTTTTATGTCCAAATGTCATAACTTTTGCAACTCCGAAGCATTTCTAGTTCTATTTTGAAAGTGGTTTGCCAAGATTTTGTTATATTCTAGACCCTGTTAGGAATATGGCTTCCATACTCAAGAGAATGGTGAATTGAGTATTACCAAATTTTCATAAAAGCTCCCTTCTAATTTTTAAATAATCATTTCAAGCAAACTTTAATATATGAAAAGTTAATCGGTACATTCTAACAATTCATAACATATAATATATCATAATTATAGAACTTATACTAGCACATACAAAATATTAAAAAAGCAATTAAAAAATACTGCAGTTAATGGAGGCATGTGGAAACCCATATGGGTGGGTAAAGGGGGACCCCAAATTTCTCATCTTGCCTTTGGAGATGATCTGATGATTTTCATGGAGGCTGGTGAGGATCAACTTGAAGTCTTAATGAGATGTCTTAACATTTTTGAAGAAGTATCTGGGGAGAAGCTTAGTATAACACATCGTACAATTGAAATACATATTTATAATTAAAATGAGGATTTAGGGGTAGGATTAGTGAAAATCCTAAGTTTTGGGACAAAATATATAAGAAGGGTGAAACGGTAAATCAACAAATACGCAACCCTAAACTGTAAAGTGATAGAATAAGGCCTCAAATGATAAAAAAATAATACTGAAAATGGATTCAGAATGAAAAATTGATTGATTAGGCAAGTTTATGGAAATTTGATTAATAGTATTTTTGTCGGATGAAATATTGCGGTACAGTTGCATCAAAAAACGTGCAAAATGAGATTAGTGCTCTAGGTTGAATATATGTTAGAAAAGGTACTTAGGATCAAGAAATATGATTATTGAGGAAAATTGATGGATTTTAGGGTTTTGGGAAAACGTGCCAACAGTGCACAAATCAGGCTAAAACAGTGATTTCACCAAATTACCGAAAAACTCAGGATTCGTCTGTTCAAGGGTAATTAAAGGACTTTGGTGAATGTTAAATTTTGAATTTAATATATAGTTTATGAATTAAGTTGAGATTAGTGGATTAAGTGAATGATTTGAAATAATTTGAAATGTGTGAGGTGGCAAGTGAGACCCACCCCACATAAACTATCAAAAGACACATGTGATACTTACTATTCACTATCTTCTTCCTCCCTTCAAACTCTCCAAACTCACGGCCATCAAGGAGAATGAGGGCAAGATATTTGCTCCTCCATTTCTCATCAAAACCACTCCCATTTTACATGGAAATTTATGTAAAACACCTAGTGAATCCAAATCACACCTCCATTCATCTTAAATCTCCCTAAATTTTTAGATATCCCCCCATAAAGCTTGCAAAAATTTGATGCCATTGGTGTTAATGGAGCTTGTTGCTTGATTTGTGGCTTGGGGAATATTCATATGAGTCTTGGACATTGATTTGTGGTATGTTTCTGTAAGAACCCGCACCGTTAATTAAGGTATTTAATTAATAAACTATGTGAAAATTAGGAAATGATTCCATAATTGACCCTAGTAATTATTAAGAGGCTTTAATAATCATGGTAAGCGATTAAGAATGCTGAAAGTCGCTTTTCGGAAGAAAAGTGCAGATGCCGGTTCTGCTAATCGGTATAAATGCGTACCGAAAAAGTATTCTGAAAAATTAATGTAAGTGCATGATAATTACTAGAATAATATTTAGGACTTGTAAAACGAGTTTCAAGTCCAAATAATGAGAACTGGCGCTAGAAACCGGTACTGGCTCTGAAAAGCGCGTACCGGAAAGGTGCTCAGAAAAATATAATAAAAATATGATAATTCTTGGAAAAATGTGTAGTTTCAGAATCCAAAGTTTGGGATTAAAATGCTAAGCGTATCAATTTAAGCTAATATTGTGTGCTTAAGTGAGTTTTGGCTATAAATACCCTCATTATGGGCACAAAACCCTAGGTGCCACTCTTTTCTACGTGAGTTTCTGGTGTGGTCAGCTGATACTCTGTTCTTGGAGGTTCTCTTCTCCTTGATAGGCCAAGTTCCTACCTTTTCTTTGATTTCTTCACACTTTCTCTTGGGGAAACACTTGGTGTGAGTGAGGATCATCATTGAGAGTGTGTTGGTGGTCTTGTTCTGAGTTTTGAAGTCAGTGTGAGGGAGATTTGGTTGCTGACTTGTTGGCTTTGGGTTGAGAGAAGCTTGGTTGTGGTTTTTGGATGTCCAAGTGGTGACCTTTTGTGTTAAAGAACCAACCTTTGTGAAGCCTTTTTCGTGCACCATCCTTGAGTCAGACTTGAGGGGCTGTGTTGAGCTCCAAGAGCATCTTCATTCTGAGTTTTGAGCCTTGGTATGTTGTACCACCCTTTGATCTTGAGTTTTATGCTTAAAAATGGAAGCTTGATGCATGTTAAGGTTAAAAGATGATAACTTGTTGTTGGGTAATGCTTAACACACCTAGAAATGCATGTTTAGGTGTTTAAAATCGGTAAAAACCCAACCTTTAAGGATATCTTCACGAAATGCAGAAACTGCATTCTGTCGTGAAATATCCGGATATCTGCCCGTGGAATATCCGGATATTGGATATCCGGATATGTGGTATCCGGATATGGGGTTTTGGGATATCTGGATATTGAATATCCGGATATGGGAATTTGTATATCCGGATATTACATATCCGGATATGGACAGTGAGATATCCGGATATTGCATATCCGGATATGGTCCCGAGGAATATCCGGATATTCTGGAATTTCGTAGAACAGTAGTTGTGCTGTGTGTACAGTAGGCTATTGGGGGTTTGTGGACCCTAGTTTGATGAAGTTGAATTTCTGTATTTAATGGACTAAGCCAGAATCATGGTATTAAGGGCTTGTGGCTTTGTTAGAAGCTTTAAGACATTAAAACGTAATGAAAAGGCGTTGTCTTTAATTTGTATGCATGTGGTACATGTTTATTGATTTATATTTGGTCCATATCATATTGTGATCTGCTGTGATTGGACTTTGAGCTTGTGGCATTGGATAGCTAGCTTAGAGGTAAGCTTTCGTGTCCTCGGTTTAGCCATGTTGTGGTTCCACCATGTCCCATGGGGATATGGTATATGCATGCTGTGTTACATGCTTTTGATGTTTTGGAAATGCTGTTGAGCTATTGTATGTTAGTGCCTTGTTGATATGCATGGAGGTGTTCCACCTATACGGTAAGCCTGAGTATGTAGAACATACAAGAGGGTGAGGCTGTGGGTGAGGTGCAAGCGGTGTTCCTTGTACTACATGTAGGGAATAGACGTATTCCTACATTTCTCTGGCCAGTAGATAGTGATTACACACATGCCATAGATATCTGTTGCACTACATAGTTTTGGAACTGATAATGATATAAATGCTTTTAGAACTTATATTGCACATGTAAGTGAGCTTGGGGTGGAAGATCCTTGAGGATCCCTTGTCTTACTGAGATTTCTTGTTTAGAGATCTCACCCCACGTTTGGGGAATTCTTATTTCAGGGTCAGGTAATGTTGAGACCTCAGGTGGCAGGAGGCCGGAGCTGAGTTAGATTGCTGTTATATTATGCTTCCATGTTGGATGCTGGATTTGTATGTTGTTTATTGCTTATAGCTTCAGAGCATGCTTATGGAGATTTATGTCTATCTTGTTGAGACTATGTTTATTTGGTGAGCATGGGGATTGTCCATGACACATAGTACTGTTATGTCTTGTTTATGTCTTGAGTCTTTGGAGTTGTAATAATGTATCAGGATATTGTCCGGATTACGAGATGTAATGCCGTGATTTAGATACACAGTTTATTTATATATTGAGGTATTTTCAGTAGATGTTTTATTGCAATTTACATACAGGCGATATTTTAGGAAAATGATTAAGTAATCAAGATGGTA